TGAATGGGGTATTTAATTATATGTGAATTTCAGCCTGAACTATTTCCATTGCACTGCGAAAGCTATGCAAAACAATGGCCACAACTAGAAAGTGATTAAAAGTTACCTTAATTATTGTGAAAATGTTTACGGTCTAAAAATATTGAAAAATTCAGGTCGTGCACAACGAAAGTCATGATGGGAAACAGGCCGACACTGTCCGTACACCCTGCGTGATGCATTGTGTGTGGCGGGCGAAAACCTCGTTTTGACGGTAGGACATTTTGGGGAAACACGCTGCAAACTCACTCCAAATACCAGAAAATACATACACAGAACAGAACGATCAAGTTTTGTGAATTAACTTGCAAAAATGTTCTTCTTCCATCGGTGTTTTCTTGGCATTTTGTACGATGTCTATTCCGACCAGCCGCATCGCATAGACTGGTTACCGCATTTCCATCATGACTTCTTTGCCTTTCGGGAAGCAGTCATCGCTAGTGCTGCATACAGTACAGCATTATAACACCATGGTCATTATAACGCATGTTTTTCATAACTGCCACATCGAATTGCATAGTTTAATCGCAAAGCGAACTTGTAAAAACAACAGAGGTTTCTTCTAAAAAAACCGAATGTAAGTAGCAGTGTTGGAGGTCTCGAGGCCGGCCTCGGCCTCGAGGCCGGCCTCGAGGCCGATTTTCATGGCCTTGGCCTCGGCCTTGGCCTCGGAGGTGCAAGGCCTCAGCCTTGGCCTCGGCCTCGGAGCCTTCCGGCCTCGGCGAATCGGTCGAGGCCGGCTCGAGGCCGCCCATTTTGATGTGTTTTCTATTCTAATTAATTTTAATTTTTTACCGTATCAAACCCTCGAGATTCTGCCGCAGTGGGTTCCGTGAAACGAACGCATATACAATGTACGCACGAATGACCTGGAAATGGTTGCATTGAACGTACTCACGTACGTAGCATCTTCGCCTAGCCTGCGCTTCAGCTTTCCACGTGCGTGCAAGCGTTATAACTGTTACCGCGTGCCAGACTACATAAGTCTGGCACCAATCCCATCTGCGAACAATAACATGTGGTAGTAGACTAGTCTGGTTGCAGTGTTGTACAAATTTTTCTCGTTTCGCCTCTGTACCCCGACCTTTCAAAATGATTTGCGGCAAGGTGCGGCAAGCTTAATCATTTCTTTTTATAGGCCACTATTTCATTAAAAGTCTGAACTTTCTGGGTACGATCGAGTGTACTAGTCCGTACCATTTTTTTTCATAAAGATATGATAAAAACCGTTACGATTTATCAAGTAGATTTTATTTTTACACGGTGATTTAAATGAAAGTTCCGGCTCACACGGTAATGTTTGGCGCAAATGGTCGATATGGAAAGCGCGATTTCAGAATTCGTTTTTCCATCCAAATGAATGCAAAGTTCTGAATGAATGTTTTAATAATAGGAGTCAGTATTCCTCGTGGTACCAGGATACTTTTTTGTATTTTTAGAGCCTACTTTAGAGATACTTTTTTGTATAAGCACGGTTTGAAATTGACTAATGTTGCGTGGTTACAGATATACGGCCAAAACCTCTGGACTCCCTACCTCTTACCATGATCTTAAAATTCTTCGAAGCCATTGGATTCAAATCGGATGATCCGAGAATTCATGGTCATTTTGATGAACTGAGTGATATCATGCACGCATGTTCCGTGTTGCCGTGTTGTTTGGGGCGGGATTGGCCATTGCCAGACTTTGTCTGGTACCGCGGTATTAACAGTGATAATGCGTGGACACTTATTCCGTTGTGTGGAGCGGGTCCCGTGCGTAACGGCGGGCCGTCTGGCATTGTCTGGTTGCATCGCGGTGTTTGCTCGGCGCGCGCCTGGACATTGCGAAGGTCGGGGGGGGGGGGGGTCGTAACTTTTTGGTTATGAGTGGTAAAAACCTGATTCAAAAATCAAGTTGTTGTTTATTTAATGGGGATTCCTATGATATTAAGCATTTTGATAGGTTTTGAAAATAAGATTTATAAAACATGCTAAAAGTAAATAATGTAAATCTTACAGAATAGAAACTCAAACTTTGGCCATTTAATTTGTTGTATCAAACACCTATGAGCCTGATCCAAACGCCATTGATTTTGTTGTGTAATTTGCTTTCAGTGATACAAAACTTGAGATTTCTTTCTTTAAAAAATAAAATTCGCCGGACTCCCTACAAGAGGAAACCCATTGCAAGCTGTGAATTTGTAAGCCAGGCACTCCAAAACTCAGTGAGTTCAACTAAAAAGATGTTAAAACTCCAACATAATCTTAGCCTTGTTTTAGTGTTTTATATTTTATTACGTGTTTTGATAGCTGGCCTCGGCCTCGGCCTTGGCCTCGGAGGAGGTGGCCTCGGCCTTGGCCTTGGCCTCGCGGTTGTGGCCTCGGCCTCGGCCTTGGCCTCGGAGGTTGTGGCCTCGGCCTTGGCCTCGGCCTCGGAGGTTGTGGCCTCGACTACAACACTGGTAAGTAGGCAAACGAATAAATACAAGCATTATTGACGCAAAAGGGGTGTTGAGAGGTGTTTTGTGAAGACAGAAAAGACATAAGTGTTTTTTTTATTATTGTTCTGCAAGACACATTTCTTCTCCAGAACTGTTGTCAAAATGAAAACATATATGAACTTCAATTGTCAATACATGAATGCACAACACACTGAAGATGTGTTTTTTTGCAATTACGTCATCATGACGTCATCATGGTTCACGTGACTCACTTCAAAATATAATAAATTTAATCTTTGAAATTCAATGTAAAATCATCCGTGAGAGACCGGAACTTGAATTTTGCGGGAATCGATATGATAATATATGATCTTCGTTTTATCTCCTGGGTGCAAAATCATTAGCTATTGAGCCACATGTAACAGCTGTTTGATGGACCAATGTATTTTAAGTGTTTACCAGTGTTTTGTACACGTTTACATGACAACTTCTTAACGGAAGCACATTTTTTACTTTTGATGACGTCATATGAAACTCAAAAGTCCGGCTCGCAAAAGTTTTTTTTTTTAATTTCGGCATTTTTCTCTAAAAACAAGCGCATTGGGGTAAAGAGTGTATGGCGAGCAATATTTTGTATTGCGCCAATGGTGTGCGACCTTTACTTTTTGAAATATTAGCTATTTAATGTGTTTTTGTAACGATTGTACTCGATAAGTTTACAAAAGGTTAAAAAGCAAACATGCTTTGATCAAAAAGTGTCCTCATACAGGCAACCTGTGGACATTTCTTTTAAATGGATTAAAGACCATGCCATGGGGCACACATAATAAGAGTAAAACAAATTTTCTAGAATTTCCCATTTTTGTGCAATCCACAAGAAACATGGTTACTCACGTTACATTTTGTGTGACCCATCTCAGAATTTTATGGCATGATTTTTTTTGGACTAAATTATCATAATTAGTATTTTTCTACCCAATAGGCATCAGAACTACTAAAAACTCTGACTTAAATTTGCATTTTGGATCTCCAATGGCAAGTACTCCAAGATAAAGATTTTCATCTGACATTATTCTGATACTACCGTATTACAGTGCATACTGATCCCTTATCAGGAATTTGATGTTTCCTCTTAACTCCAGCTGTAATTTAGTATTTTTTTAACTAAAGCTGAGCCAATTGGTTCACTCCCATCAAACAGAAAACTCAGTTTGAGGCTTCTAACAAAGCATTGCGCATCTTTAACTGCTCTGGATTTACATCACATGAAGAAGTCCAGGACAGCATTTGAATTTGCACCAGTAATCCAGTCTAAACGTTCCTCAGCACATAGGCCAGTTCCAAGTGTTGTTTTGGCCCGGTATCCAGCAGATCCAAAACTCTGTGTCTTTTCGGCATTGTGGAGGTGTATATTCATCGTACATGATTACTCAGACACCTAAATAATCAGCAATCTACCCTGGGCTGTTTTTATCATTTGGGAAACCCATCGGCATCGGCAGGAATAGATGTCTCACATTACAAAGCACATTTTACTCGTGCAGCTTCTATGTCTGCAGCAGCAAGAGCAGGAGTTTCTACAGCTCAGATTTTACTGACAGCAGACTGGTCATCTGTGAACACCTTTGAAAAGTTTTACAAGCGAGATGTACCATGTTCAGAGGAATATGGAAGAGCAGTCCTGTCTTCGGCTTAGCTGTGAAATATACATGGTGTGTCTTGCCGACAAGGATGAAATATAATGGTTCTTACCCACCATATAATTGAATTATATGAGGCCGAGGAGGAGAGACTCACCTCCCTCCCTCGGTGCCTCAGTTCTCTTCAGCCTCCCACCCATCTTGAGTCCTCAGCCAGGACCAAAAGCTTAGATCTACAAATAGTTTCATGAGTGGTTTATACTGTGCGCGCCAGGGCTAATTTGCATTTTATGAATGAAGGAATGAACCGTTTTGTGTATGCAAACTGTAATACTAAGGGACAATAGTACTAGGTGAGTCTCTCCTCCTTGGCTTTATAAAAAAAATTATAGTTTTTGCAATTGTCACACTTTTACTCAATTTTAAGGGTGTGAGAGATTTTACTTTCAGATATTTCATTTGAAAATATGTGGTACTTTTTAATAAAATTTTAAGCCTAATATATGTGCCATAATTGCAATTACAATAATCACTCAGGATTGGCGAACTTGGCTGAGAAAGCTTATTTATAATCGCAACGGCCAATTCGGTCGGTCATGTGTCCCAACTTCATGATATAGCCCATAAGCTGAAGGTTTAAAAAGTAGCTCATAATTTGTATAAGGCTTCAAGTTGCCTGCTTTGCAGGATGGGAGGCTTCACAGGTGAAGTTCGGCTTTGCAGATGAATGCCCGCTTCACACATGTCATGTATGAACAAGTCTTACTGTTACCTCATAATCAGAAGTATAACGCAAATAAAAGGACATCAGAAAATACTTTATCAGAGAACTGTAAGACTCTTAATCAGTATGTAACTACCTAGTAACTAATCTTGAACTGTTTCTCTTTGCATTACAGTCGTGTTGGGGATTCACCAATTGTTGGCGCTGGTTGTTATGTGGATAATGATGTAGGTGGAGCAGTTGCCACGGGTGATGGTGATGTCATGATGAGATTCCTTCCAAGGTATTCCCCATGCAAATTGATTAGAAATACTGGGTTGGGATGTGAAAATCATGAATTTGAAAACTTCAAAGATTGGTACTGTTTTATCAGCAGTATCCGCATCGCTGCAGTCATGGATGATTGAGTACCTCAGATCTCAATCAAACGGTATGACACATTTCCTGATAACTATCTGATGGCTTCTCATAACCTAAAATCCATGCCTCTTTGGGTGAGGAAAATACCGAGTGATGTTGCTGCAATACCAAAAAACCGACAAACTCGATATGGAATTTCAGTACCCGATATTTTGGTTTGAATTCCAGTATTTGAATTAGATTCTAGGAAGTAGCTATTGAAAACATTTTGTTGGCCTTTTGTTTTGTGATAAAAAGGAAAAAACATTTGATTAAATCCTCTGCATTTTTTTGATTTCAATTCAAATTGCTGCATGACATTCGATCAGCATGTGCTGCACAGTGATCACTGTGATTGCCAGTACAGTCACTCAGCTCATCTTTTTGCCGGCAAACTCAAAGTGCCGTCCAATTCGGGCGATTCACAATGCAGTGCGCCACCAAGAGTTTGCCATGGAGAGTTTGTTTTTCCCAGTGCATTGTGGGAGATAGTTGACAAATTCGCAGCGCAGGACATTTGAAATTGTTAGTTTTTCCGGTCAGTAAATTTGTAAGCGTATGATTCGAGTATATGTTTGCCTTTTTCTTTTCTTTTTATCAATATGGTGATTTTTGGTAAGGTGGCAGAATGCCGTGCCCCAATCTATGACAAATTAGCTCAAGTTGTCTACTGACACTCGTTCAACTGGGCCATGGTTTGTCGACCATAAACCTGAAAACCAGACTCTCCGTGGCAAACTCTTGGTGGCGCACTGCATTATGAATCACCCGAATTCCCCAGTGCTTGGAGCAATCATCAAAAGAAACCAATAGTGTGGTCCAATCATTCTTCATTGTCATTAGTTTGTGACAACCGACAACATCGTAACCAACAAGGATGGTGTGCTTAACGGTGATGTGTACGTTCTTTAATATTGTCACTGCATGGTACTGTTAACCAACAAAGTCCTGAAAAGATAAAATACAAAAGTCCTTTGTAAATATTTTGCTTCATGAGAAAGAACAAAGAATTCACAAATAAGAACTTCATGATAAAATAAAGATTGAAAGTTAAACTCAAACTAGCGAAAATATGCTTTTAACTGTTAAGTTAATGTTGATTCAAAGCATGTACAAGGCAAGTGATTGCTTTAGACTTGGAACTCTTAAGCACAAAACACTACTTCAGCTAAACTGCATAAAAATATTAGTAACTCTGTGCTAAAGGAAAAAATAAGCAATTACCAAATCTTAGTCAAAACAAACTAAAAAGAACTCTTAACTCTAAATGGTTAAACCTTGAAAATAAGAGGAATAAATTCTGAATAAGTAAACCAAAAGCTAAGTATGATCTATCCAAGGCTATTCCGAGTGTTACTTTTCTTCGAGTTTCGAGTTTCAAGTTAAGTTTTTGAGTTTCGAGTTAACTTTTCGAGTTTCGAGTTGACTTTTTGAGTTCGAGTTAAGTTTTTGAGTTTCAAGAAGTTTTCGAGTTTCGAGTTGACTTTTCGAGGTTCGAGTTAAGTTTTCGAGTTTTGAGTCGACTTTTCGAGTTTCGAGTTAAGTTTTCGAGTTTCGAGTTGACTTTTCGAGTTAAGTTTTCGAGTTTCGAGTTGACTTTTCAAGTGTCGAGTTAAGTTTTCGAGTTTCGAGTTAAGTTTTCGAGTCAGGGCCCTTGCAGTTTCTCCCATTCCATACACAGTTTACATGTACCGGTAGATGTAAATTAGTGGGCCCAACACATTATTTTAACACTAAAATGTTACCCATTTTAAAAATACATGTTGCTGCTTAATTTCATTTACTGTCCTATAAATGAAGAGGGGAAATTTTGAAGCTCCAATGTTCCTTCGTCCCCTCCCTTTGAGCGCACTGCAGTAACAGAATAGAAATATCCCTAAAGGCAAGTACCTAGTGGCCAAGCACCTATGTTTGGAAAAGTGTTAATCAGTGTCAGCATGGAGCTTTATTTATCTTTATTTATATTCTCACAAATCACGGGAAAACTTAATCAGTATTCTTCAATAATCTTACTATAAACAGAAAAAAAGGCTTTACTGACTTGCAAATATTAACTTTGCTTGTGACTAGGCCTATAGAAACAGTCAATTTTTAATTATGAACTTTTAATTGTCTCGCTAAACTGACAAACAGATTTAGCCATGTGTATGAACTCCATGGTGAAATATAAACATATTTAATCTTGTAATCAGTGGACAAGAGCCAGCTGCTTTGGGCATAAAGGAAAGTAGAGAGGTCAACATCCTTTCATAAAACTCAATTAGGGGAAATGAAGGATAACCTTGTAAAGTGTACAAAAATATATAACACTATTTGGATAATTTAACTTAAATACTCTTACAATTTTAAAGCAAACTTGCACAGATTGAGCGTGATAAATCAAGAGCGAGTATAGCTCCAAGCTTTAGCTGGTGCTTATCAACTTTAGTTCATACAGTTATTTTTGTTATGCTGTGTGGTATTACATAAAAGGTAATTAGGCCTACATGTACAAAAATGCCCCCAAAAAGAAAGTTGACACTCATAATATTGAATAATGTTGAATGTGATTGGGGACGTCATTTATACACCTGTGGGGAATCATATAAGCTGCATTTTGATACCTTGTTTGCTACCAAAGACTTTAAATTTTTCAAGATTAACTACGGTTTGTGACAAATTATGCAGTTTGAAAAGTTGCCAATACGCAAGTTGAGTGGAAATTACTGTCTGACAATGTGACACTGCCCGAAACTAACGGCAAGGAATATCTATCACACAGTGCTTGCCTGCATGAGAGCATGTGAAATTGAATAACCCCGCTTGGTATGGGCACTGTACAGTCCATATAATTACAGGCATTTATTTTTGGTTACGCTGAGCAATTTCTCCTAGCGTATATCTTAAATTGCAACTTTTCAAACTGCACCGTTGGTCTAATTAAAGTTAAACCGTTGTCATTCTTGGACCATATGCTGTCTCTGGTAGCAAACGGGACATCAAAATCTGATAAAATTACACAAAGATGCTCTTTGATGTATAATAATACATGCTGACTTTTGTTACTCTTCATTGTATTGAATTAATAGCATGTAAGCATACAGCAAGGTATAATTAACTTGTATGCATTCCAATGAGCCTAATTGTGTGCTACATGTGCACATGTACACCCAGATATATATGGTCCCTTATTTAACACTGCAGTTGCAAAATAGGTGCTGCTTATACTCGGACTCAATAAGAATGAAACTCAAGACTATAATGAATTTTGTCAAAATACATGCATTGTGACAAAATCTCTTATACTCGGACTCAATAAGAATGAAACTCAAGACATAACTTTTTGTGCATCTTCGCCACAGCTTCAAGTTATTTATTTCAAACTTTGTTCATTCGCCGGATACCGAATTGATATGGGCAAGCTGGCATCAAGTCATAGGGCTAACAGGCCCAAAAGAAACATGTTAAACATATAATGGACTCCCAGGTCCCGTACATGTACGTCAATTATCAATTTGGCTCCCAGGCCAACCATTAATGAATGGGCACGCATATGACCCAGTCCACATCTGTGGGGGACAGCCATGGCTGCGCTATGGAAATACAGCACATCCGGCCCCTGGGGTACGTAAGGGGGAGTGGCTGCCCCTTACAAAGTTCAAATCACATTGTATTACTAAAAAAACATCAACATCAGTAACAATATCAGCAACAATATCAGTAACATACCCATAAAACTAATGCTACATGTAAACTCATGTGTGTACATGTACATGTATTAGGCATGGGCTGTCTTCGACTCCTGTTGAAGATGCCACATGTGCGCAGCACGCCCTAGGAAGAAGAAGACCACACTAAACAAGAACATATTTACAATCTTCCTATCACTGCACTGAACTTAATTCCCTTAACACTGAATGTGTGATGCAATGCAGGAGACAAAATCAGACAGCAGTAACTTCGTTCCCATATTACTGAGGTGAACCCCATCATACAAAAACAGAGCATGATTTGTCCTCTGAATCTCATCATGGGCTAAAAATGAAGCCCCAGACAGCCTGCAACGAGATCGCGCCCACCTGTTAATTGATCGGCGGACCTGGTCCATGGACTTTTGATCCTTTGCACCAAAGTAAAACAGGCGTGGCAGAATAGCTGACCACATACACCAACATGGTATGGGGGTAACTTTGACGGCAAAACTGCATGAAATATGCAGTACGCTGCCTAATCTGAAACATGTCTGCGCTGACCAATTCATTTTTACTGATATGAATAATTAAAATATTTGGGTGACCACGGGACCCCATGGAGTGTAGCAACTCAGGGAGATTACGCAGCTCAGCCCCACTCTTGCCTCTCCAAAATATCCTTACAGGAACACCAAGTGGCTGACGAGCACAACAAACAATTGAGTCACCAATTATCCAGACTGCCGCAGGACCTGATCATACAAACATGTCAGTAAAAGTGAAAAATGGCAATTAATTCCCAACTGGCAGGGATCAAGCATGCAATGTATGTGGACGGATATATGTAAGAACTGCGTGTGAGCGCCAACAACCCAAATTTTGAATGTGTGACAAGGGAACCCCTAATGTGAATGTTGTTGCAGCACCGATCCGAAACGAGTGGGTTTTGAAGTTGTGCCCTATGAGCCCCAAGTGTACCAGTGCTTTTTTAAGCACAGCACCAAATTGAAATCTTGTCAGTGGGCTCCCATCAAAATGACAAAAGAGTATACCCTGGTGATTAGGGCGCAGCATGACAAAATCATGCAATGCTTGAACAGGACAAAGCTCTTTCTCAGTAGCTTGAGCTAAATGAATTACTTAGGGGGGGGACCGGAGTGATTTGTCTTACTACATCGGAAGGTAATTTCAACTGAATGGCCTGCCAGTTGAGTACAGCAGAAATGAATGTCCCCTATTTGAAGGACTGACTCCTGCACTGCCTGCTTTGAATTTGCTGCAAACTCCCCGACCCGCATGAAACCAAAGAATGCACCGAGCATTACTGCTTTGAACAT